AAGAGTGAGGCTGAGGAAGGTGTAAGTGGTGCGACGTGGAGGAAATGAAAATGAGATAAAAAAGATCGGCGGTCGAGCTAAACGGCTATAAATGCCGCAGAGAAACCCGAAGGAATACACTGAGTTTCAATGGAGAAGCCCCGTGGAACGGAGGCCAAAAACAAAAAAAAAGAAAAGAAAGACGGAGAAAAAAAAAGACAATGAAGTAACAGGCCAAATTTAAAGCAAACAAAGGAATTAAAGGGTATAGTGTGCCGGCTCGCATATGTCCCCGATAAGATTCTCTAATGCGGCACGCTTTGTGCATTTCTTGCACTTGCGGGGCACTTTCTTCGCTGCAGACACCCCCTTTTTAACTGGTGTTTCTCTAGCCGTTTTGTCTGATTCTCTTTTCCCCATTCTTTTTTTTTTTGTTTTTACTACTCTGCTTGTCGGTCCCGCAGATTCCGTGTAAATCAGAAGTTATCCGAGATGGTCAACTTTACCGTTNTTTTTTTTGTTTTTACTACTCTGCTTGTCGGTCCCGCAGATTCCGTGTAAATCAGAAGTTATCCGAGATGGTCAACTTTACCGTTGATGAGGTTCGGGCCCTCATGGACTACCCCGAGCAGATCCGCAACATGTCGGTGATTGCGCACGTCGACCACGGTAAGTCGACGTTGTCGGACTCGCTCGTGGGCGCTGCTGGTATCATCAAGATGGAGGATGCCGGTGACAAGCGCATCATGGACACCCGTGCCGATGAAATTGCGCGTGGTATCACCATCAAGTCCACCGCCATTTCCATGCACTACCACGTGCCGCCGGAGATGATCAGCGACCTTGCCGATGACAAGCGCGACTTCCTGATCAACCTGATCGACTCGCCCGGGCACGTTGACTTCAGTTCTGAGGTGACGGCGGCGCTCCGCGTGACAGACGGCGCCCTCGTTGTTGTCGACTGCGTGGAGGGCGTGTGTGTGCAGACGGAGACGGTGCTGCGCCAGGCGCTGACGGAGCGCATCCGCCCGGTGGTGTTCATCAACAAGGTGGACCGTGCCATCCTGGAGCTTCAGCTGGACCCCGAGGAGGCGTACCAGGGCTTCGTCAAGACGCTGCAGAACGTGAACGTGGTGATTGCGACGTACAACGACCCCGCAATGGGTGACGTCCAGGTGTACCCCGACAAGGGCACCGTTGCCATCGGCTCCGGTCTCCAGGCGTGGGCGTTCTCTGTCACGCGTTTCGCCAAGATGTACGCGTCGAAGTTCGGTGTTGATGAATCGAAGATGTGCGAGCGCCTGTGGGGTGACAACTTCTTCGACGCCAAGAACAAGAAGTGGATCAAGAGCGAGACGAACGCNGTGTTGATGAATCGAAGATGTGCGAGCGCCTGTGGGGTGACAACTTCTTCGACGCCAAGAACAAGAAGTGGATCAAGAGCGAGACGAACGCCGCCGGTGAGCGCGTGCGCCGCGCGTTCTGCCAGTTCTGCCTGGACCCCATCTACCAGATCTTTGATGCCGTGATGACGGAGAAGCAGGAAAAGGTTGAGAAGATGCTCAAGTCACTGAACATCAACTTGACGGTTGAGGAGCGCGAGCAGGTGCCAAAGAAGCTGCTCAAGTCGATCATGATGAAGTTCCTGCCGGCCGCGGAGACACTGCTGCAGATGATCGTGGCGCACCTGCCGTCGCCCAAGAAGGCGCAGAGCTACCGCGCGGAGATGCTTTACTCCGGTGAGGCCGCCCCCGATGACAAGTACTTCAACGGCATTAAGAACTGTGACCCGAACGCGCCGCTGATGCTGTACATCAGCAAGATGGTGCCGACGGCTGACCGTGGCCGCTTCTTTGCTTTTGGCCGTATCTTTGCTGGTAAGGTGCGCAGCGGCCAGAAGGTGCGCATCATGGGCAACAACTACATCTACGGCAAGAAGCAGGATCTCTACGAGGACAAGCCAGTGCAGCGCACGGTGCTGATGATGGGACGTTACCAGGAGGCTGTGGAGGACATGCCGTGCGGTAACGTGGTGGGCCTTGTGGGCGTCGACAAGTACATTGTGAAGTCTGCCACCATCACGGATGAGGGTGAGAGCCCCCACCCGCTGCGTGATATGAAGTACTCTGTGTCGCCTGTTGTGCGTGTTGCAGTTGAGGCGAAGAACCCGTCCGACCTGCCGAAGCTCGTGGAGGGACTGAAGCGCCTCGCCAAGTCCGACCCCCTTGTGGTGTGCTCGATTGAGGAGAGCGGTGAGCACATCGTCGCTGGTGCCGGCGAGCTGCACCTGGAGATTTGCCTCAAGGATCTGCAGGAGGACTTCATGAACGGTGCGCCACTGAAGGTGTCTGAGCCCGTCGTGTCTTTCCGTGAAACCGTGACTGACGTCTCATCGATTCAGTGTCTGTCCAAGTCTGCCAACAAGCACAACCGTCTTTTCTGCCGCGGCGCCCCGCTGACGGAGGAACTGTGCGTCGAGATGGAGGACGGCCTGAATGCGGGCTCCGAGGCGGACCCCAAGACGCGTGCCCGCTTCCTCGCGGACAAGTTCGAGTGGGACGTGGCGGAGGCACGCAAGATCTGGTGCTACGGCCCTGACAACCGCGGTCCCAACGTTGTTGTGGACGTGACGAAGGGAGTGCAGAACATGATGGAGATGAAGGACTCGTTCGTAGCGGCGTGGCAGTGGGCAACGCGCGAGGGTGTGCTGTGTGACGAGAACATGCGCGGTGTGCGCATCAACGTGGAGGACGTGACGATGCACGCGGATGCCATCCATCGTGGTGGCGGCCAAATCATCCCCACTGCTCGCCGTGTGTTCTACGCGTGCTGCCTCACCGCTTCGCCGCGCCTGATGGAGCCGATGTTCCAGGTCGACATCCAGACGGTGGAGCACGCGATGGGCGGCATCTACGGTGTGCTGACGCGCCGTCGTGGTGTGATCATTGGCGAGGAGAACCGCCCCGGTACACCCATCTACAACGTCCGCGCGTACCTTCCCGTCGCGGAGTCCTTCGGCTTCACCGCCGACCTGCGCGCCGGGACGGGCGGCCAGGCGTTCCCGCAGTGTGTGTTCGACCACTGGCAGCAGTACCCCGGTGACCCGCTGGAGCCCAAGTCGCAGGCCAACACACTGACGCTTGGCATCCGCCAGCGCAAGGGGCTGAAGCCCGACATCCCGCCGCTGGACAGCTTCCTCGACAAGCTATAAGAGTGGAAGATTTTTCTTTTTAAGTTTTTTTACTGTAGTTTTCGTTAAGGAATAAGAACTCTGTGTGGAATTTTGTGTGTGTGCTTTAATCACAACCATCAGAGTATTTTAATTTAACTTTCCGTTAAATGACCCCATCTTGTAAATTTTTTTTGTGTTTCCATAATTGTAGCGTGGCTTTTCTCTCGGCGTGCTGGTTATGAGAGTATATCTTCCTTTTGTATTGTTACTTTTTCTGTGGTTTTTACTAGTGAGAAATGGAGGAGACTCCGCATTACTCACGTGTAGTTGATGAACCAGAGTCACTGAATGTAGTGACTGGTCGTAGTATCTACTATGGCATGCGGCCCTGGCGTTGCGATGATCGTTTTCAGGATTTGTTGGCGTCATTTACACATTTGGATTCCCTTTCCGTTCAGCTTCACCTCATGAAGTTGCTATGGCGTTGTGCTCGCTCTGAGGGAGGTGCGGAGCCTCTTGATAATTACAAACGGCTGGGGAGAGGTGAGGTTATGTTCTATGTGGAACGGCATCGTAGCGGAATGATGCGAACTGGTGTTTTGGAGAGGTACCCCTACAACCAAAATGAGTTGCAGCGGATTATTGAAGAAGATGGACTGAAGATGCGTGTCTGGCGTCACCAGCGTGCGATGGAGATGGAGGCTAAAGAGGGAAAAATTGACGATCTTCTTAGTGCGAACGTAATAAGGGGGATCAAAAAGTCACCGGAAGACTGACGTCGTGCGTTTCTAGATACAATATAGCCCAACTCATGTTGCACCTTAACAATTCTGGAAGTTTTGTTTTGCAGGGTACAAGAACGCGTTTTCTGGTTTTATTCCGATCCTTGAGCCTGCATTTTTTCTTGGCCTTTTTGGTTTGTTATGTACACTTCAGCACATATAGGTTTTGGATTCACTGCGATGCATAGCCGGTGGAATGGCTATGAGGAGCGGAGTCTCTTGGGCTGTGGTGTCTACCCTCTTCGACGCACATCCGGGTTCACACCTGCCGGCCCTTCGGCACGTATGGATGAGGTGGTTGCCGATGCCGGCGAAGAGGATGAACAGCAGGATATCGTGGATGAGGCACTGTATCTCTTCAAGCCTCATTTGCTGTTTCGGACATTTCCTATCAAGGGTGCTGGAGATCGGGTTATTCTTTATGTGACAATGTATCTGCACGAGTGCCTAAAGAAGATTGCAAACGCCAAACGTGAAGAGGCGAGTGCTGCGTTGCTCAATTATGCCACTGTATCGTTTGCTATTCCTGGAGATGTGGGTTTCCGTTTCAATGGATTCTTCTTGGTTGGGGATCACGCGGAACGTGAAGAATGGGAGGCCTATGCGAGGCAACTTCGTGTAGAGGCTGGCTTCCGTCTAGTTGAGAAGGTTTTTATGTTTCCTGAGAAGGATGGAACAGGGAACAAATTCTGGATGGCCTTTGCAAAAAGGCCGTTTCTGCCATCTGAGTAGTGGGAAAGGAAGTTATTGAGGATGCGTGATGAGTATGACCAGCCTGCAGTAGCCGTTATGAGTTTAAGGCCCGATGCGTGTAGAGGCCTCTTTTTTTTTTTTTTTTTTTTATTTCATGGGAATTGAAGAACTATGACCTGTGGCGAGCAATGGTCTTGTGCACTTTTGCTGTTTGTTATGGCCTTGGGTGAAGTGACTGTAGTTGCCTCTGATCCCTCTATTGCTGTTATCGACCGGAACACTGTGCTTGCTCATGTGACGGGGAATTGGACCGTTACATGGCTGACTGGCCAGCAAGAGCGACAGACAGGGTTCATCGTGGAGGTGTCGTCCGCAGCTGTGGTGCTGCGCGAGGAGGCGCCGCTGGATGCGGCTGTGGCTGTAACCAAAACACTCTTTCGTTTCTTGCGTATGGCAGAGGGAGGCCAGGACCTCCATCATTCGACGTGCGAACTGGACGCATGGCTTCAGAGTATTTCTCAAACAGCGGGAATGCAAGTTTCTGATGGTGGCATTCACTTCACGGGCTGCAATGAGGTCGGTTGGCTACCGCCGCCACAACATATAACGGAAACCGCGTTTGGTGTACTGCTCGCAGAGCCGCACGTGGTGTACCTACCTACGAAGAAAGCTTGCGCCTTGGCTCCATTCGCAGTGCGGGGTTATTGGGTGGAAAGTCTACAAGAAAAGAAAGCGCTTGCAGTGCTCATGCTGCACGAAGGCGGAAGAGATTGCACTGCTACCTTTAAATTAAGCAAACGGTCCCTTTCAGAGACGAAAACACGGTCTTTACTCGGCCCTGCCGCGTTGCTAGTGTTGGTTGCGCTTATAAAGTTCCTTCCACGCATTTACTTGAAAAAGAAAGGGCAGTTCAAGGGTGGTGGTGGTGGGTTTTTGAATGCAGACAGTCGACCTCGTTTCGATGCCAGGCGACAGGAGCTGCGCAAACGGCAGGAGGAGATTATCCTTCAAATGAAGAAGCAAGATGGGTTGCTCCAAAGTGAGGAGAGTTGATTGGGGGCATACCTGTAAAATAACAAGACAATTAAACTACACGTGAAAGCCATTTCGGTGAAGTTGTGTTTCCGGGCCTCATCACTTTCTGGCTATGCTTCAATTAACATTTACAAAAAAAAAGATACAGAAAGAAACAAAAACGATTAGCGGCAATGTCTGTTTCGATGCTGCCTTTGCAAAGCAGCATTAGCGCTGACGATGCCCTCCCTGAAAACTCAATCAACTTCTGCAAGTTTGTGGGGCCGAATCGACAGCCAAGAGGGTGTGTTTTCTCCCCACACCCGCGGCGGCAAAGTGACAAAGTATTGAAGGCGCCGTCTGGCCGCTGGAATACCACCACGAATGCTGTATTTATTGTTGTCAGTTCATCGCCTCGATGTAATTTAGTGGCACGCTTTTTCTGCTCAAAGCTCTTGCACTACCTCCGGTGGTGTGGTGAAAGCGTTATGTTCTTTTTGGGCGGCCAAACAGAACGTGATGTGGAGGTTCAACGCTTTGAAGACGACTCTGTTGCGTGGGAGAAATATGTGGGGGAGTGCGTGGAAAAGTCACTCGAGTATATTGCGTCTGACCCACCACTTGGTTTCGCAGAGGTCCCAGTGGTTATCCTTCGGGTCGACTGTGAAACAACGGAGGCGTATGGCAAGCTAAACGACATGCTGGAGCCAAAGGGGAACTTCTTGATCCGTCATATTTGGTTTGATGAGGACTGGAGGGAAAGCAGCCGATTGGGTACTGGCTACATTGATGTATGTCTAAAGCGGCCGGCTCTCCGAGTGACGCGGTGCCGTCGGAGTATCATTTGTTCAAAGGCAACAAGCTACCTCAATAACTGCCTCCCTGCCCTTCAGCGCGTTTACCTTCACGAACCGTTAGTGGGATCTGTAGAGGACACAATGAAGTCCTTCTGTCCTGTTTTCTTCACGCGTCATGGAGAGTCAGAGTATAACTTACAGGATCGCCTTGGTGGCGACCCTGACCTTACGGCTTCTGGTAGAGATGATGCTTTGGCGATTGCCGAGTTCTTCCGTCGACAGGTTGTGCATAACAAACATTTGTTTGCTGCACGGAATACTAAATTTGACGAGGAAGAGGGATTTGAGGTATGGTGCAGCCAGTTAAAACGTACTGTGCATACTGCTGGCCCCTCTGCTTCTGTTCTCACGCGTGGTGAACTCAGGATGTTCAAAACACTTAATGAGATTCACGCTGGAGTATGCGAGGACATGACAAACGAAGAGATTAAGTCATTGTACCCCTCCATTCAATTTTTTCGCCATACCGATAAGGTAGGGTTCCGTTACCCGAATGGAGAGTCGTACCGCGATCTTATGCGGCGTCTGGAACCGCTTCTATTAGATCTTCATGTTGCACGCAAATGTGTCTTGGTTGTGGCGCATCAGGCTGTGTTGCGGACGGTGCTCTCATTCTTTGACGGCCCATCTGTAGAGGAGGCTGTTCACAAGCCATGTCCACACCGCACTATTTGGTGCTGCACATACAACCGATTAGGGGAGCCTCGTTTAACGACCGTTACTCTTGGGCCACGTAAAAACACTTGTGTTGTTGAGGATGCCAAATGGAGTGGGTGGTGAATCCATGATGTGTCCCAATGCACTTGCAATGCTTCCTTATTTTCGTTGTATGTCTTTTTGTCTGTCCGGTTGTGTTCCTTCTCTTTCTTTTGTTCTTCTGACTTTGGATTGTGTGCCCACGTGCTTATGATCTATTGATTTGTTTTTTGTCACGTCCATCTTGCGAGGTTTCGTCTTGTGCTATCTTGTTTCTGTGTTGCCCATTTTTAACAGTCCAACTAGGAACGATGAGATGCTGTCCAAAGTAAAGAATTCACTCGTTCATGTTTTGTCACAGGATCCTCTCAGCGATTATAAGTTGTGTGACCGAAAGTATCGCGGCGGTAAAAATAATTTGCTACGCATTCAAGACGCGCTGGAAACTTCCACAGGTAAGCCTGTGTCTATTGTGTCCGTTGATGTAAAAGAAATTGTGACGCGTTGTTCTACGGCGGCCGAAGTCCAATACACCCTGAACGCATTTAAGAATGGGGTGTCTCTGCTCACCCGGCTGAGGCATCCTGGTATCCTGCAGGTCGTTCGTCCAATTGTAGAGGATAAAAAACATCTACGGTTCGTGACTGAGCGCATTTCTTCTTTGCTACCGCTTGAATTATCCAATGGCACCCTTTCGAAGCAGGAGAAACTGCTTGAACTTTTTAAATTGGCAAAAGTGATACAGTTCATTCATGAACGTGCTGGATACTTGCTCTGTGACTTTTCTCCTGAAGCTGTGTGTATTGTTGATGGGGAATGGAAGGTATTTGATTTATCCCATGCCGTGGCGGGAACTGAAGCTGCTAGACTCAGTTGGCCGCATCCACTCTCTAGTGTTGCAGCGCCGTTGCTGGATTACTGCTCCAATGAGCTTGTGAGAGCAATAAAGCCTCAGGAAGATGGTCCCATCGATTTATTTGTCTCAAATACACACGATACGATAGTTAAGCTACCAGAGAGCGATGTGTTCTCGTTTGTCCTTGTTTGTGTCGAAGTGCTATCGGGGCGCAAAGCCTTTAATTGCGGTGGCAATGCGGAGCTGCACAGTAGACAGTACAACAGTGTAGAGGCAGAGGTTTCCAGGTGGTTTTCGGGGTGCCCTTTAAAAATGCCACGTCCCTCATTGGCTTCAATACGAATGGACAGGATGTTCACCACAGAGGACATACAGGTTTTGACCTCCCTGGAAGACTATGATACACTGGATGAGAATTCACGTTTTGGAACCTTAAAAAAGTTGTATGATGGCCTTGGACAGTCGGCATTTCAAGAAGCAATGATTTTGCGGCTAATTATCCCGTTAATGCGGCGTGAAAGTTTACAAGAAGTCAGACTACGATACGCTCTTCCCATTATGCTGCAATGCTGTCGTTGTGTGTCGCAAAAAGCGTTTGACACTAGCATGCGGGACTACTTCACCGCACTTTTCCGCGCGGTTAGTACAGCGGACACCTTTGAGCGGTGTGGTATTGTTGCCGAGTTGATACTCGAGAAGTTTGATCTCTTGGAAAAATACTTCGCTAACATTTCTGATCGAAACAACGTCATTGTGCCGTTCCTCGGGCGTTGCGTGGATCCAACGATTGGAAAAAGCAAGATTACGCAGCTAGCAGTAGAGCGTATTGCGCAGTTGGCTGAAAATGCTGAGGATTTGCAGTTTCCCGACAGCTTGCCAGAGCGTCTGATCGATTTGATACTATCTGATCCACAGAACGCGACCCCAGTGTTTGTCTGCTTGGAGCGGGTTGTGCGGTACGTGTCACTGGCAGCGCGGGAGCTGACAGAGGCTCGCCTCATCCGTTACGCCTGCACTTTTTCCTTTGAGACAGGAAATGCGAACGGCACGCTTGGACGATCTCTGAGTCTCCTCGAGCGTTTATACGAGAGCTTTTCCCGGGACCATAAGGCTACGCAGAGTATCCCGTTGTTGGCCCCGCTTCTTCTTAGCACATCGGTGGAGGTGTCGTTATTTGGCAGGCGGATGATTGAGAAGATGGTGGTGGAAGTGACAGTACTATCGAGTGCGGACGTGATTGTTGATGATCGACCTTATATTTCTTCTTCGGTTGACCGGCGACCTGCTGTTCCCTTTGAGGCTGAGTTGACTTTTTTTGACGACGGTGCGAGTCACCCAATCTTCTTCTGATGTCATCTCATTAGGGAAGAGATATGCGCACGACTGGTGCCGCTTTTCCTTTTTCCTTTTGATTCACGTGGCATTTGTGCGAAAACGAAAAAAAAAAATCCTTGCACACATCTTGTGAGTCTGAATATGTGGTCTCTCGCCTCTTTCTTTCTCTTTTGATTCTCGCCACGATGGGGAAAGTTTGGGAGAGAATCAAGAATCGAATCAGACCAACAATGAGCGGCCGCGAGGGCCAAACCGAATCTGACGCGAAGGGGGTGCGTGAGAACTCCCCTCATCCCTCGTCTTGCACCTCCTCATGTGACGATGATCAAAAAACTTATTTCATCAGCCAGTCACTCTTTGAATCCCTGCAGAACAAAGGATTTAGTGATAATGCCATCAAGAAGTCCATAGTGGCGGGGTGCGTGGATGAAGGCACCTGTACGCAGTGGATCACGATGCACGAGGGTCACCCGGATCTCGACACCCCGCTGGAGAATGGTGTGGAAGTGACTGTCAGGGTAAAGCGCGTTCTTACTGAGGTGGAGCGTGAGGCGAAAGTGCGGGAGCTGCGAGAAAAGGCCAAGGCGAAGGTTGAGGAAGAGAAACACCTCGCCGCGGAGGAGGAACGGAAGCGGATCGAGATGGGTAGGAAGGCGCTTGAGACGAAGGAGATGCTTGACAAACTTCGGATGGAGTCTGAACTCGCGGAGGTGCGTCGGCAAAAGGAGGCGGACGCGCTTGCGCGGCGCCGAGTCAAAGTACAGATCCTCGCCGATAAGTATGTGCGGCAGGGTATGTCCTCGGAAGAGGCACTCCGCTTTGCCGAGTCGGAGTTTGAGGAAGCCGCGCGTAAAAAACGTGAAGAGGCGACAGCGCTTATGAGCAAAATGACCGAAGAGAACGTAACAGGGACTACAGCAAGCACTGGTGCATGGGATCTGCACGGAATAGCAGCCCGCGCCGTTCCACTCAGTGATTTGTTCGACAAACCTGCCGAACCGCCCTCGTCGCTTCCCAGCCTTGTCGACGCGATACTTCAACATGAGGACACTGAAGCTGCGCGCCAGTGTTTCACAGTGCTGCGGACTGTCTTGACAAATATCCTTAACAATCCATTTGACACGACGAAGCGCTCGCTCAAGACGTCATCAAGTGCCTTCTGTATGAAGGTTGCCCCTGTTCTACCTGCCCTTCACCTTTTGCATACATGTGGGTTCCAACTCGCCACCGACGCGAACGGGAATGAGTCATTGACGGCCACTACTGTGGTGATTCGTGTGCTTGCTCGAGCGCTTGCTTTGCTGCCGAAGGAAGCGTAGGCGTAGGTCCCCCCCTTTTTTTTTGCCCTTCTTCCGCGAAGGGAGGAAGAGAAAATCGTGGAGAACCAGGCAAAACAAATCCGTGCTCGGAACCAAGATTGACCTTCAGGATCAACTCGGGTCTTTCCCATTTCATTGCAGACTGACTTTACTTTTATTTTCTTTTTTTTGGTGTTTCGCGAAGGTGAAGTGAGGCCCTGATGGTGGATAGCTCCCGGGCCGCAGACTCTTACAATGAAGTGGCACGAAGGCGGACAGGCGACTTGAGCAGCAAAGAGACACCCTTTCGATTCTTCAGCAACTACGTGAAAAAGTGTCTCATCCAATTTGCTCTAGATCATATCAAGCACAAGGCGGGTCGGCGTAACGCTCTTGTGCTTGACTTGGCGAGCGGAAGAGGAGGTGACATAGGGAAGTGGCTTCACTCCCAAAGTCCGGAGCTGAGCTTCGCCACGAAGAATTTGCCGCCAGAGCGTTTGGTGAGAGCAGCCTTTCTTGAGTGTCATGATGTTTCGCCGGAGTGCGTGGCGGCGGCGCAGAAGCGCTACAGCGAATTTTCATCGAGTGCAGTCTGTAAATGTGTCTTCACCGTTAGCGACTGCTTCAGCGAGGAATTTCTCCGTAGCCAACTTTTGATGTCAGAGCATTATGGTAAGTACGACATTGTTTCCATTCAATTTGCGTTTCACTACGCGTGTGATACACTAGAGCGAATAGACATGCTTTTGGGTGCGATTGCTGGGGCATTGGCGACTGAAGGTGTCTTCATTGCGACAACAGTTGATGAAGAAACGCTTTCTCAGCGTGTCCGCGAAAAACGAACGGAATGCGGTGGATTGTTTGCCATAAGCTTTGATTCGAAACCTCTCTGGGAGGGCGAGAAGCTCGCGGTGGGCACAAAATATCGTTTCGCATTGGACGGATTTGTGGATTGTGACGAATACGTCGTGCCGATGGCATACGTCCGAGAGCGTGCAAGACACTATGGCATGGAGGAAGTGGTGGAGTTTTCCAAGCCCTTCCGATCGTTCTATGCCGATTACAAGGGGGATTCGAGTAAGAATAAGGGGATGTATTTGGTTCGAGGAGAAATGGACCTCGCCACGTTGTACCGTTCGCTGTGCTTCCGAAAAACAGGCTGAACCCCTGGGCGCCGGGGCTGCAGGGTCTAATTTTGATTTTTCCACCCGCTACTTCGGTGTTCTGGGTGCGAAAAAAATTTTTTTTGGTGTGTTAGTTGCAGCTACTGATGATAATGACTTTTTTTTTTGAAGGGGTGAGGCGGAAGGGGTTGCATTGTTACTTCATGTGCTTTTTTTTTTTCTTTTCTTTTTGTATTTCACTATTTCCGTTTTTTTTGTTTGTGCGTTGGCGCATCCCTTCTCGTAGTTCGGGACGGCGTTTACGCAGGTGTGATGCCCATGACGGCGGCCATCGTGGCAGATGTCAATCCGCTCCATGCCGTTCTCGCGGAAATGCTCGCGGAGAGAACCGCCGTGCCAACCAAGCGCACAGTCGCAGTGCCTGAAAAGAGTGATTGGCGGACACGTCAGGTGTTGCGAGAACTCAAAGGGCTTAAGTCGCCAGAAGATGTTTCTTCCTCTGAGGAGCAGATTCGGGGTGTTGTTGCGAGCCAAGAGTCACGGTGCCGTGTGAAGCTTATGAATGGTTTTTTGTCAGGCCAGTATCTCACAGAGGAACAGGCGATAGTATGTGAAGAGGAGAGACGCTCTCGCAATTCTATAATATCTTTAGCCACTTCTACACTGCAAAGCCAAGCGACATGGCTTGCGTTGATTTGGCGAGAAATGTACCAGAGGTGCTGCATTGAAGAGATGTTCGTGACGGAGCGAATGGACTTCCAGAAATGCTCTGAAGTCGGCATCCTGGTGGCATGTGAGCAACACTCACGCCGGTGTCTGATGCAGATGGAATCTATGAACCGCAAAGAGACGAATCAGAGACGCTTTTTGTCTGTAGGGCGTGAGATTGACATGGAGCTACTGCGGCAGCAATCGCATCGCTTGAATGCACTGGCCTCTCAGGCTTCTTCAAAGCTTGTTCTTGACATGGCACTGCTTTCTGCTGAAGAGGAGCGCCAACGCTGTTCATTAGAACGGCTCTATTTACTCAAGCTTAGTTTGATGTCCAATGATCAAGAGAATGCTGCTGCCCGATTAGTTGTGACATCAGTTATGCGGGCTTCGTTGCTGAGGCGGAGATTGGAGGACGATAAGTGGTGGAGGGAGCATGCCGCTCAATTGCTGATGCTGCCTTTGAGAGAGGGTGACCTCCGCGGGATGATCGAAAGAGATGAGATGGAGAAAAGGCAAGATATCCGAGTGAGCTTTCTGGTTTCGTGGCGAGAGGTGTTTAAGCGTGTAATAGGTCCAAGCGAAGGCGCGGCCATTGTGGAACGCCTCGAGCTTTACGAGCGCCGTTGTGTATTTGATCAGTGGAGGTTTGGCTTTAATGCCCTCGCCGAACGACAAAATCGTGAAAAATGTCTCCTTGCACAGCGTGAGGCGGAGTATGACCAATTTTTTCATGGTGTTATTGATTCTCTCCGAGCCTTATGGAAACAGGAAGGAGAACAGTTTGATCGGCTGCGTAAGATGTACTCAAACTTTCTCTGGTCTGACCGAATGGTTAAGGCCACTTTGGTGCTTGATGTTGAGGAGCGTTACATGCGGCAAAAAATTATAGAGGCGGAAATACGGGAAGCTGTTGTCTTGCGATCTCGGGTGCACAAACATCAACTCGAGGCAGCGGCTCTTCAAGAAACCGCGTCGATTATGGAGATGGAATCAATTGTACGCCATTCATTAACACAGTGCTTCAAGGGTGTGGTGAAGAATCACCTTTGTGCACAGCTCTGTCGTAGAGAGGAGCGGCGGCGGTTTAAGATCGAATCAGAGGCTCGCGCCAAGTGGACGGATATCGTGTTGAAAGATGCAGCTCAAAGTGGCCGATCGGTCGACGCTTTGGGGCATCTTGAGGAAACTCAGCGCTTCCTGCTTGTGCAGGAAGAGAAACAGCGCCTAATGTACCGCATCTTATCGACGCTTACCTCTCAAGAAAAAACGGAGCGGCAGCGCATTGAGCAAACTGAGTTGAGCAACCGTTTTATCACGTATGCATCGGTTCTGGGGTGCGTGGAGGAATGGAATCGGTTAGGGCTCCAGACAGAGAGCCAGCATGACCTGCTCCGAGTCTTGTTGTGCAATCTGGTTGATCGAGAGTCTATTGAGCGGGCATTTATCACAGACTGTGAGTTGCGGAGGCGCGATTTCCTTTTTGGAAGCTTCGACTACGCCCATCCACAGCTGCGTGCTTGCGAAGTGGATGAGTTGGACGGACGTCTAGACATCATTACGGAGTCAGAGCTATCGATGAATGCATTTGCCTATACGCATGGAGTGTACGATCGGGTGACGTACTCCACTGAAGAGCTTCGGTCTGTTCATAGTACCCTGCGCTTCATGTCTTCAAGGGAGCTTCTCCAGTTTCATGAGGTGGAGCTGGTCCGCGTTGTGGAGCCGCTGACACGAGCAGAGATTGTGGAGAGGGAAACATATGAGCGACTGGTCTTGACGATAGAGGCACAGGAGTACAGAGGCCGCTTTTGTATTGAGAAAAATGCCTCAAAAGCGTACGAGGGTATTCAAAATTTGTTCGATCGCATCATTTACCGTGCTGATGAGTGGCGAAAAAGAGGCCCAGTTAGGGAGTTGGTGGTGCCATCTGAGAGGGAGGTGCTAGTCGATTACTTCCGCCGTCAAGAAGCGTCAGTACCTGCTAGGCTCAAGGCCCAGCGTGAAAAAACCCGAGAACTTCTTGGATCCTTTTTTGAAGAGTTTTATTTGGGTCGAGATGATATTGTGCTTAAGGAGTTTGTTGCACGTGAGGGGCTGGTGAATGCTCTTCGCCGACCCCGTAGTGTGATGAGCTGCACCGCTCCAGTTGATGCCTCCCAGATAAATGTCCGATTCTACAGTCTCACACTTGTGACAAGCGTTGAACTGAAGCCCATGTCCATGAAGGTCTACGACTCTGTCGATGATGTGGGAATAACATGTGAGCTACGCGAGGCGCAGGCTATTGCAGCTGCTGGTAGCGTCTTTCGCGTGTGTTTTCCTCTACACCAGATGGAGTGGGTACGGCCCTTGAGGGAGGAAAGTAATGCTCTTTACTTTGAGGCTGGGGATAACGAGGGTAACGTTGTCGCCAGTGCCTCCCTCCTCCTCAGAAGCAGTGAATTGATGGCGTCTATAGGTGCAACAGTTGTTTCTGTTCCTTTGGACGACCAACGTGGAAAGATAAATGTTGTTTTACATGTAGGATAGGTTTAGATGCCGTGATTCTCGCATCACATGTAAAGTTGCGCCTTTGTCGGTCCTCTTTTTTTCACGTTTGTCGTTTACTGTGGCTATGCCTTGTGTTTGGTGAAAAGAAGTTGAGTGTCCTCTGGATATGCGTTTCTGTTGAAGATCTTTGAATGACTGACAGGGAAGGTAGCATAGTTCCTAGATGCCTGGCGGATGTAATACTGAGGGACTTGCGGGAAGAGTTTATCATTGACAATAAAGGTCGAGAAGTGTTCAATCGGTTTTTTGAGTTTCTCGTTGAACATCATGAGCAGAATGGAGGAAATACCAAGGAGGGGTCCCCAGGTGCGGGAACAACTGAACAGTCTTAAGCACTTTCAGCAACATTCACGTCTACATTTTATTGGTCAATGGAAGACAAAGGCCAGCGACTTGTTTAAGGAGTGGTTTAAAGAGAAGCCCTTTTGGAATCACGGTGATATGAACCATCAGGTTTTGTTCGCACACTTGGATATGGATGCCTTCTTTTGCAGCGTTGCCCTTGCAAAGGAAGAGAATTACCACTTGCGCGACAAACCGGTTTGCATAGCTGCGGGAAAATACAACAGTGACATTTCCTCTTGCAATTACATAGCAAGGTCGTACGGTGTACGTGCGGGAATGTATGTGAACGCTGCGAAAGAGATCTGTCCTAGCCTGCAGGTGCTAGGTTACGATTTGCCGCGTTGCGAGGAGGTCAACAAATGTCTTTATCGCATTCTATTCGAGTTTTGCCCGGATCTAGTCAGCATGGCTGTCGAGGTATATAGCATCGATGAGGTTATGATAGCTTTTGACACTGATGACTACAACACGATAATACGTTACTGCAAAAATGTGCGTGAAGAAGTGAAGAAGTCTACGAATTGCACTGTATCGTGTGGCATTGGTCCCAATATTATGCTTGCTCGCATTGCCACAACATTTGCAAAACCAAACGGGATACATTTTATTCGCCCCGAGGATACATCGAGCATTGTTGCACAGCTTCCCTTCAATAAAATACATGGTGTGGGAGACTCTGCAATGGCGAAACTGCGTCCGTTGATGAAACCTTATTTTAATGATAGTGAAATTACCGACGAGAGCATTCTCTGCCGGCACGTACAGAAGCTAACAAAGCAGCAAATGCAGCGTTCCTTTGGGCAAAAGACTGGTGTGAACTTTTTCAACCTTTGTCGTGGCAATGACACGCGTGTAGTGAGTCGGACAGGCGATGATGAAAACCAAAAGATGTTTGGTAAGAAGTCACCTAGTAGCGTCAGTTGCTCCATGAACTACGCCGTGAGACCTACTTCTCTAGACGATATTTGGAGCATTGCTAGACAGTTGCTAGAGGTTGTCTGCAATAAACTGGAAAAGGGAGATTACTCGAGTTCTGGGCTACGGGTAACAATGTTAGAACGCCATCCTCTGCACCCGAAGGAAACCCAAAAGTTTATGGGAAGGGGAAGATGCGTCGAATATCACATACCTGTCTGCTTTGAGTCCACCTTGGTGAGCTCAGACCTTGAAACGATGCTGCAGCGGGTTAAGGACACCCTCACACCGCTTCTTGTGTGTTGCCGTCCAATAACTGATGAGGAAAGGGCAAGGGAGCTTGGTCTGGACGACGACGCTTGGTCCAAGACTGTATGGACAGTCACTATTAACGCTGACACAAATGTCGTTGTATCTGATGTTCGGGGAATGACCATTCAGGCCACGGGACTTCACGTTGAACAGGGTACCAAGGGCGTTTTCAAGCGTGCACGAAGCGGTCAGTTGTCTCTTGCTGATGCCTTCTCCAAAGGTTCTGATGGAAAGGAGGATGAGGAGAAGGAGAAGCAGCAGCAGCAGCTGCCAGATGTTTTAAACGTTTCTGCGTCGATGCCAGGGGTCGTTGAGAGTACTTTTGATTTGTGCATTCTTGATCGTATGATGGACCGTGACATTGACAGTGTCTTTGTCCAGGAGTGGAAAGATGTCGCGAGGCGCGTTGGTCGCCAGGCAGATTATACAGCAATCAAAAGTCTACTCCGTGTTGCTGCTTTTCGGTTTGCAATGGGTTCAATGCCAGTAGATGAGGCTCGAGAGGAGTTTAAGAGCCTTGTAGCGTTTGCCAATGCGTTATTACCTGTTCCTGTCTCATTCGTTTAATACATGTTATATATATATATATATATATATGGTGTCCCAGTAATGTTGCCATGCCCTTTTATCTCTACGCGACAATTCTACCATCTGTTTCTTTCTTCTTTGATATACCGTGTAGTTTTTTTGTTTGCTTTGGGTGGGTGGGTGGGTGGGCTGTTGCCGCTGAAGTAGGTGTAATGCTGCGTTTAGAACTCGAGCGGGCAGCCCATTGCCTCAAAGAAGGAAATCATGTGGGCGCTGATAAAATTATTCGTGCCCTGCAAGCTATTGACGATCCGTCGGTGGCCGAGTACACTATCAACATACTCAAGAGCGACATTCAACAGTTAGAAGAAAATGCCACGTACGTGCACTTCATTGCTTTTCGGCTTCTGAGGTTTTACCTAACACGCCAGAGGGACATGTGGGAGAATAGTAGGAAAGATTTGTTAAATTTCTTCTTGGAGTATACGCAATCCAACAGTGAGCGGCTCCTGACTCCTGCGTGGAGACCTGTGTTGTCTGAGGCGGCTTTGGACACAGCTGTTGTGCTGAAGCTTGGTTGCTGCACCGGTGATGTTGGTGGTGTTAACGGAACAATCCTTTCGTGTGTCGTGTCCGATGTTCTCTCTATGATGGGCGAATGCAGGAATGAGTCGGAACTTATTTTTATACGTTACGTGGTATTGCACACTGTTGAGGAGTTTGGTCTTTACTTTCCGGCCTCTCGAGGACGTGGAATACCGTTAAAAACTCATCGTGCCTGTCGCTCTGCTTTTGAGCGTGACGGCTTGGTTCGTATTCTCAGCAGTCTTTTCTTCTTTGCAGTGTGTGGCGCTGCCGAAACTCCCCGGACGGTGGAAGTTCTCTTCGGGTGCCTTACCTCCGTGGCGTCTTGGTCCCTCCACAGCTTCTTTGAAGAGGACGCCTCGGAGAATGAGTGTGATCGTTCCTTTAGAGTCTCGGGTGATTTGTGGCGATCACTACTATTAGATGGCGTGCCATTACCAGATGCTATGGCAAGTGTTGATGCGTTGCTTCGTAAGTGGTATTGCGATGGAAGTGTTTGTGGCATTCCTTTTGATCGTCGACCACTCGTGGAGCTGATTCGACAATTCTGTGGGGTTACAATGGATTCATGGGATTTATCGGACAAGCTGCAGTACGGAAGGAGATTTCTCTCTCTCGCATGCTTCGTGTCGAAAGATTTACTAATGAACGGGGATCAACACGAGGACACACGTGCAATTTTCTCTCTTCCTATTACTGGAATCGTGGCGATTGTGGAAAACTTGGAAGACATATTCAATGATAAAGAAATTGTTGATTCTTGTATTTCTGAGCTTTCGCTGTTGGCGAGGTCTCTCATTGAGCTAGACAATCGAAGTCCGGACGATGAAGGTGTTATGGCTGCTCTCGATGAGGCTCTGGGAGGCTTATTTAAAATAGCAAACATAGCGTCTCAATATGGTAGCTTGTCTGGCGTGGTGAGATCATCAGCTTTAGATGTATTGAGTGCCTTTTTGGCCTCTAAGCTGTCTAACGCCCATTCATCTGAGTATGTGGATCACTTTTCCGACGCCTTTACTGCGTCGCACATCACTCTGCTAGGGCATGTAGGTCGGTTGGACCCAGTAAACGCTGCTGACGCCCTCTGTTTGGCGCTCGAGGTACTTCGTGGGCGATTCGTGGAAATGAAGGCACAATCTGATCCTGTGCGAATGCAGGTTCAGGAGGGTCTCTGGATTGTTTTAAGGACTATTGACGCGTTTGTGGCCGACGCATGTGAAGGCGAAGATATTGTGATACCTCCGTGCTTTCTTGGGAGCGCATGGTCAGAATCCCACCCTGTTCTTAAGATTGTCTTGATGCTCATGGGTCTGATGCACGAGATCATGCAGCAATTATCCACGACGAGCCCAGCCGTGGTTTCGGCGTTATTGGAGGTGTTTGGCACATTCATTGGAGTTTACATCTTTACAGAAGACCAGATCGCTTTTTTGTTTGCTCAAGGAGGTACTGGTGTGGTTTCATATGTTCTTCATTCGTTACGTGTGTTCACTTTTGACGAGGATGTTGCACTTATGGGGTGTCGTGTGCTCGATGGATGCGCGAAAAACAAACCCATGATCTCTGCCCTGCGTTCATGTGGACTACTGCAGATGACGGAGGAAATGATCAGTTGCGGTCAGCAATTTTATGGAAATGTGAGGGGGCGTCTGGCCGCCTTCTGGGTTTGCTGCGCTTCCCAAGAGGCATTTTCAGATCATCTAATGCCGATCCTCAACACGTTTGACATCCACACGACAGACTCCGCCTCGGTAGATGTTGACCTGTCTCTGGAAAGATGTGCCTCCCTAAGTGGATTCTTCGTATCTATGCAAGACCGTGAGAGGCTTGTAGTGTGCTTTGGTGTTATAATGAATATGTGCGATCACGTCCTTGGCGTGAGTTTCCACCGATTTTATGAAAAAGAAATGACCATTCGGAGCACTGATATGATAATGCAGCTTTTTCTGTCCTACTCAACAGTAGTAGGCGGGGAGCAATTGCTGTGGCTGGTTGAGAAGGTACGCATGACACTGAATTCTGTCACCCGGGCGCTTTGCGAGGACCGTACGTGGTGCACTGAAAGCGCTGAAGAAGAGAAGCACCGTCTCTTAAAGGTGATATCTCGTCTTCTATGTGAAGTTTCTCGGTGGAAGATGATGGACTGTGACCTTTCAGCAGATGCAGTGCAGTCCCTTGGCTCGTGCGTCATCTGTGTTCTGGCAGCTATTCTGAACTTGATGAATGAACGTTGTTTGAGCTTACCTGAATTACAAGAATCTGTTTTTCTCGCGTTTCAGCAGTGTGCAGAGGCTTTCACTTCCGAATTCGTCGGGAACTCGAGCTCACAAGTGTTTCTATCAACGATATTTTTCGCGCTCAACTCTGATTGCGTCGACACTCAGCGTGTTGGGACTGCTGTCGTCGACACGGTGGTGCTGTTCCTTCGAGACTCGGGGCTTCAAAGCCATGAGCTTTTTTCAGACTTTCTCTCGACAATTGTGCGTAGTTTTGCGTCGGGTAGACTTTCAGTGTCCTTGTCACCGCAGCTGGCACAGAATCTCATGACACTGTGCAGCTGTTTGCCACAGCATCGTATTGAACTGGTTCTGGTAGAGGCGTTGCGAGAGAATTTGGATCCAAACGTCTCCATGATACTGCGGGACATACTCGTCATTGTGAAGGAATGTGTTATGTGCGGTGTTGCGCGGCGACAACCAATGATTCGTGGTTTAACGGAGGCCGTTGCAGAAAGCCTCTCTAATATCAAGGGCGTGCTTTTCGTTTAACGTGGACCACCGACGAATGGGTGGGTGAGGCGATAAAAGAGAAGAGGTATGACCTTTTAAAATTATTCTCTTGTTTTTTTTTTTGCTGTTGAGTTTTGAAGATGCCTGCTCTATTTATTGAGTTTTTTTTCTTTTTCCCCTTGTTTGACGGATTGTATGTTATTTTCCGTGTTGTATGACACTTCGCTCTTTGCACGCATGCATATAACTTGTGCTGTAGGAGAAAGGATACGGTGTAACATCACACAATTCAATGGCTCTTCAGCAGACAGCACACAGCGCGTGCTCACGTAAGGTTCATTGTGTTACCAAGCATTACCTAGATGACCCATTCGCTACCTTTTTTGCCAAGGACACTACAATCGTCAACAGCCCCTTGATGAATCGCGGAACATGGCTTCGAACCGTGGCTATAGAACGTAGTCTACTCTCTTTTGCGAAGAGTCAATGCGGTGGGGGCCCTCTCCAAGTGATCAGCTTCGGTGCTGGCGTTGACACGTTATACTTCCGTTTGAAAAAAGAGCATGAAGATGTCAACATTGGAAAATTCATCGAACTAGATTTCCCAGACTTGGTAGCAGAGAAGCAAGGCATTATACAACGTACGGAAATGCTGAGGCAATACGTCGGCCCCGAGTACGCGTTGTTGCCGTGCGATCTCCGAAAGACGGATGATCTCCGTGACATATTGAAAAAAAATGCCGTTAGTAACATTCCTACAGTGCTTATAGCAGAAATGGTCTTCGTTTACTTGGACGCGCCGACGTCGACAAAAATACTTGAGCTTACACTTAACGATGTGCTAGAGAAGGACACAAGTGTGCTTCTGATCGCGTACGACGCCATACGCCCTACTGATCGTTTTGGTGAAGTGATGGTGAGCAACCTTGCGTCCGTGGGCGTGCACCTCCGCGGTATCCGCGACATACCCACACCTGAAGCCCATGCGGAGCGTTGCAGGAAAGTCGGCTTCACAAGTGTTGCCGCGACATCAATGCGTCAGCTCTACCTCGGCGTCCCACAGGAGACACAAAGGTGGCTGTCAAAGCTAGAGATGGTCGACGATTGGGATGAATGGTGCATTATGCACGATCACTACTGCTTTGTGTTGGCTACCAATAAGGTGGAGTCCATGCCGACTGTCTTTTGAGTTGATCTGGTGTTCACAGCAAGAAACAAAACCCATGTTATCATCTCCAGCTTTTGTGTCGTGTAAAGCAGTTGTGTTTTCTGATTATGTCCCCCCTCCCTCTTTTTTTCCCCCTATTTTTCTTTCACATGCTGCGGATTCCCTAGTTTACGTCGCGCTATCGCTACATAAATGTCACTGGACGAGTTAAAGTTGAAGGGAAATGAAGCATTCAAGGCCAAGGACTATGAAGGCGCCATTGAGTGGTACACAAAGGCTATCAATGTAAACCCGAAATCTGAGGCCGCAGCGGCCCTGTATTCGAACAGAGCAGCATGCTGGCAAAATATGGGAAACTTCCCGAAAGCGTTGGAGGATTCTGACAGCTGTATTCTTTTAAGACCATCATGGCTCAAAGGTTTCTTTCGCAGAGGAGTCGCGCTTGAAAGTATGAAAAAATTTGACGAAGCAGTAAAAGCATTTCAGCAAGCACTGAAGGTTGAACCTGGTAACGAGGAGGTACAAGAGAAGTTGCAGAAACTGAACGCCGCTCTGAAGGATCGTGATGAAAAGATGACCCCCGCATCATGTAAAACCGCTGATGAAGCCAAAGTCATCGGCAATTCTATGTTTACCTCAGGGAAGTATGAAAAGGCTGTGCTCTTTTATTCACGTGCGATTGAGCTTGGCTCTGAGAAAAATGGAGAACTGGCTAACTACTACGCAAATCGCGCGGCTTGCCATCAGCAGACGCACAACTACGAGCTTGTCATCAGCGATTGCGACAAGGCCCTTGAGATTGATTCGAAACACGTCAAGGCACTTATTCGCCGGGCTATTGCGTATGAAGGACTGGAGAAGTGGAAAAAGGCCCTGGATGATTACAATCGGGCAAATTCCCTTTCTCCTGGGCTGCCCACTCTGTCACAGGGTGTTCTCCGTTGCCAGCGTGCGCTAAGAGATTAAGCATTGCCTCTACCACTTGAAGTCTGCTTGCTCTATTCACTGATATACTTGCCTCCATACGCCTGTATGGGAGGCACATGGTTCTCATTGCTATTTTGTTGTTTGCCGCAGCTACGCGTCAACCTGTTCTTTACTGTTTTTTTTTTGCCTTTTATTTTAAATTTGTGCGCCATGCCATTCTTTTTGTATAATGCACCTATGATATATAGATTTAGAGGGGGAGGGGATTCGGAGAGCCTGTGATAGGCAAGGAATTATGGAGGTGCGCACGAGAAGAAGACTATTATATATTCCCGACGAAGAGGCCCTTCTCCTTGGTGAGTTGACGGACTCTCCACGCCCACGGCCCTCGCGCCTACCACGGCTGCCAATACCTTCTTCAGAAGGTGAAGACGATAACATGCCAGCAGAGGGCCGCTCGGAACCCCCGGGCGCGGAGGGTATTGACACTGGACTTTTTGTTTCGTACAACAGTTACACTTTGACGGACGGATCGGGTTTTTTTCGCCCACCACCAACGGCACGAGAGGCCGCTGCACTTTATAAATTATTAAGAAGAAGCTGCCGATTTTTGTGCGGCTTTATAGAACACGGTTCCATCTCGCAATCACCGACGGATGACATGTCATCAGTATCATCGTGTAGTTCTGGGTGTAGTGAGAGTTTGGATTCCGAAAGTGACTCTGAATTGCATCAAAGACCACGGAAGCGACCTAAACGAGAAAGGGATCTGCTCGTGCCTGTCGAAGGCTACAACAGTAAGACTGTTCTGGAGCTTAGAGAATTGCTCCGTGAGCGGAACTTGCCCATCTCTGGGGCCAAGGCGCTCCTTGTTTCTCGTCTCGAAGAGAGCGATGCAAGAGAAGAGAAAATTGGGGATAATGACAACTACGGTGATGCAGAGTCTGGGTCCACTGCGGGCGCCATTGGTAGCTCTAATGGCAGCTCTTTTTATTCATTGTACTCTGAAAATGAAGGGAAACCCATGACTTTATGGGGCACTATCCTCAATATTGGATCGAAGCTGCTGCGTAAATCGACCGGCTCTCTCCCTGAAGACAGTACCTTCTCGCGCTGCAAAAGGCGCCGAAGTGTATAGATTTTTTTCTGGCTTTCTCCAAAGTAGATATATATATATATATATATATATATTTATGTATATATGTTGTCACTTTTTTTTTGGTTTCTTCTTGACATCTTAGCTGCACCAAGCTAAGTTGTGTGTATTTCTATTGTCTCCCTTCTCTTATTAAAAACATTTTTTTTTTGTGTTTGAAGAAAGGTTCTGTTGCTTGAAAACAAACCAAAAATGAAAGTTCAAGATACTTTTGTCATTGGTCTGGACTTCGGCACCGATTCAGCACGGGCCGTTCTTGTTCGCACAAGCGATGGAAAGGAGTGCGCAACCGCCGTGGAGGCGTATAAGCGTTGGAGCAGTGGTTTGTACTGTGATCCATCTATGAACCTGTATCGTCAGCATCCCCTGGATTATGTAGAGGCCTTTGAAGCAACTATTTCGAGGGTTTTGGCACAAGGACCAAGTGATGTGAAAAATAGAGTCGTAGGGCTGGCATTTGACACCACAGGCAGCACTCCGTGCTTTGTTGACGAAAGAGGTGCCCCTCTGGCTTTTCAGAAGCAATTTGCCAAAAACCCGAACGCCATGTTTATTCTCTGGAAAGACCACACATCTGTAAAGGAAGCGAAGGAGATTACTGAGTTTTGCAAGAAGGCCCCAGTTGACTACACAATTTATTCAGGTGGTACCTACTCGTCGGAGTGGTACTGGTCCAAGGCGCTCCATGTCCTTCGCCATGACGAGGCTGTCCTCGAGAAGGGCTACGCTTTGCTTGAGCTCAGTGAGTGGCTTCCCGCATTCGTGACGGGCGCGACATCATTTGCGGAGGTGCCACGGAGTCGCTGCTCGTGCGGTCACAAAGGAATGTGGAACGAGGAATGGGGTGGGTTCCCCCCTAGCGAGTTCTTTTCTCAACTTCACCCAGCCCTGGGTGCTATACGCTCCAGAATGACGGCGTCTACCTCTACAGCGGAGAAGGCCGTTGGCCAGCTATGCCCTGAGTGGGCCCGCCGCTTGGGACTTACGAGTACGGTCGTTGTTTCTGGTGGGGCGATTGATTGCCACATGGGTGCTGTTGGTGCTGGTATCAAGGAGTACTCTTTCGTCCGCGTCATGGGCACCTCTACATGTGATGTTATGGTGGTGTCTCACCAGGATATCAACAAGCGTCAGATAAAGGGCATTTGTGGTCAAGTTGACGGGTCTGTGATTCCTGGAATGGTTGGACTGGAGGCCGGGCAGGCGGCGTATGGTGATTTGTTCGCCTGGCTTGCGTCACTCTTATCATTTCCATTGAAAACGGTGATTCAAAATTCCACTTCCATTACTGAAAAGGATAAAAAAACACTTTGGAAGGAGTACAAACAAAAAATTCTCCCTATACTAAACGAAAAGGCTGAGAACATCAAACCGGCTGTGGGCAATGTGATTGCCGTGGAGTGGTTTAATGGGAGGAGAACACCTGACGCAAATTTATTCTTGAAGGGCACCATTGGTGGACTCAATTTGGGAACTGATGCACCCCACATTTTCCGTGCCTTGGTGGAAGCGGCAGCATACGGATCGCGGGCTATTATTGAGCGATTTCGGGATGAGGGTGTCCGTATTGACCGTGTTATTGCGGTTGGGGGAATTGCAAAGAAATCCCCGCTAGTCATGCAAACACTCAGTGACGTTCTCAATATGCCTATAGGTGTTTGTCGCACCAAACAGGCCTGCGCTTTGGGTGCGGCGATGTTTGCTGCAACAGCAGCAGGAGTGTACAGGACAGTTGGAGAGGCTCAAGAAAAAATGGGCGGTGGCTTTGAGACGGAGTACAAGCCAAATCCATCTAGGGCCGCAGTCTACGATATTCTGTATGCACGCTACAAGCAGCTTTGTCGCTCCACTGAGGCCGAGTGTATGTCGCACCTGTGATCAGTTCGTTGGAAAGTTTTAAGCGAAAAAAGGACGAGAAAAAAAAAAGGAGAGCAATTCAAAAACAAAACGTTTTTTTTCCTTTCTGTTTTACTTCCTTTTTTTTCGTAAAGTAAACACACACACAAAAAAAAAAAAATAGGACGGGATTTTTTTTTTCCTTTGCTTGATGGGTTTTTGGTATATTTATATGATGCGTGCTTTTAAAGAAAAAGTTTTTGGTGGTGTTTTGAATCGTGTTTTCGGTGATACGGCGCCGCAGGGCTGGCCACTCCGCGTGTGCGGGTGTGTGATGGAGCTTTGAATATCTCTTTGTTTTTTGGGCACTTTCTTTTTTTTCCAAGTTTTTTGGGGGCAAATAAAAAAAAAGAGGGTGGAGGGAAGAAGTCTGTGATGTCGTCGGACGAAGAGGCTGTTGCAGCGCTTTATGCAAAGCGTCAAGAGTTGCTGAAACAGCTCAGCGAAATCAATAGCGTTATCAGAACCCTAGAGCAGCAGATGAACGAAAAGGCAAACCCAAACGGGAGCATCAAGCAAGTTGACAGTGGCACTGTTGGAGGTACAGATGCTGAGCGTGTGAGCCACCTTCTGGATTGTTGTGTGCGAGACTCCAATGGATTGAGAGATGCCATGAAGGTGGTTGACGCCTGCAAGGCCCTTCGTGAAGGGGCCGTTGAGGGTGAAGCAAGTAAACAAAAACTTCTATTCTGCAACACGTTTCTACACGGAATGATCGCTAAAGCACATGACCTGGCACTTGATCCGAATGGAAGTGAACTAGTTCAGCATGCTCTTGGTTTGTTGAAGAACGGAGGGTCTGTGTCTCCGTCATTGCACATGACCGACTACCTCGTAGATTCCACCAGTGATTTATCAGAAATTCTTCTTCTTCTTTCAGAGTTGAAGGATCACATACCACAGATTTGCTGTGACACCAATGGTACACGTGTCATGCAAAAACTCTTCGATTGTGTTAAAAGCTTGGAGGAAGTTGAATTCAGCGCAGACTGTTTTTCACGCTCCATTATAACCTTGTGCAAAGACATCAATGGTAGCCATGCTGTTGCCCGGTTATTGGCTGCAGCACGTCAAGCAAACTTTTGTGGCGAAAATGAACTAGATGAGCCCACAAAGGATAGGCTCTCAAAAATTCACAAGCTATTGTACGATAACTTTTCAGAAAGTTGCGTTGATGTTTGCAGGAATCGTCAAGGATGCTGCATTATTCAAAAATGTCTCCAATGGGCCCCTGAACCGTATTTTTCCACAATCATCGACACTGTTCTGCAGAATACACTAAAACTTGTTCATGACCCATTCGGCAACTACGTAATTCAATTCATTCTAGATCATGAACACGATCTTGCGCAGCGTTCTAGCCAGGGCTCTGAGACGACAAACTACACAAATCGAACCATAAGGCAAATGCTTCACAACGTTGCCTCACTTTCGTGTAATAAGTTTAGCAGCAACGTCATTGAAAAATGCTTAAAGACAGCTTCTCCAGAGGTGCGACAGCTCCTTGTTGATGAACTAACCGACCCACAAGTCCTTCCCAAACTATTGACAGATGGATTTGCAAATTATGTTATCCAGACAGCCATCGTGACCTCTACGGAGGAAAGCCAGTTCACACAGCTGCATGATTCTATCATGCCACTTCAAAATTTGCTGAAAAATTCACCTTATGGTGTAAAGGTTGAGGCAAAACTGGCACGTCGTCGGCGTGAATGTGCTCGAAAGCAGAATCATCACAAGCAACAAAACCGACGGAACACGGCGCTCTCGCAGGCTGCAGACCATGTAGCCCCTGACGGCTTGTTGGGCTCACAGCTTTTGCCTGGAATGCACAGAATTCCAACTTTAGTAGGGACTGATGCCCTCAACCAGCACGCAGTGGCGTTTTCCAACGTATCGAAGGACATGACTCAGATGGTGGCTCAACCGCAGTACATGCCATTTATGTTTCAAGGGCAACAGGCACTCATTGGTCTACATCAGAACCACTCTCACCAGCCCTTCCCAGTAAATATGATGAAAGAGGGCACCATTTGGGGACCCCAACAAGGCTTTTCCGTGTTCCATCACCCAAACCAGAGAAGTGAAGATGGACAATTGTAATGCGTCTACCCTGATGAATAGCCTGTGGCTTTACCGGCAAGGGTGCCGTTTGTGCTTTCTGACCTAACCCGCGCACGGTTTGCAGAGGCTGATAGTTGAGCATGATTGAGGATATGTTTATTCAACCGGTCGCCCCCAGAGCCTCTCGTAGTGTTATTTTGAAGAACTTTTTCACTCCACTGGTCGTTGCGTTTTTCGTGCGTCTGTTGTGTTTCTCTTTCTCTCACTCTCCCCTCTGTATGTGTGTGTGTGTTTGGTTGCGGATGTACGGTGAAGGAGAGTGGGAGTGGGAAAGTCGTCCGTGTTTCTATCGATGCTGTTTGTGGAAGTGCTGGTTCTATTAATCTCGAATACTATATATATATATATATATATATATAAATGGGAAAAATCTGATAAATGATGGACACTTTTGTTGTATCTAAAAAAGCGTGGATCCCTTCTATGACGCTGTGTTTCGTGTCTTGTGTGACTAATGTCGGGGATCACTGTTATGATTTATTTTTTGTCCTTTTTTAAAAAAAAAATGTTGTAAGGTAGCAATAGCGCCTGCATTGGACAGAGGCAGCCTCATGGGACAAGGGAAGCATCATAATCCATACATAAAAGGATGCGTTGTGCTTTTCTGCTGTTTGACATTGGCATTGGAGAAGAATCGATCAGCTACTCCCCCTTTCCTGTCGATGGCCAGTTGTGGTGACCGCGAGGAATAAAGGGAAATGAAGGGGTTGTACCCGCCATGGGTTCATCGAGATTCGCAATCTTGATGGCGCTGACCAAATCATTGACAAGGGGCCCAGCCATGAGTGTCCGCTCAGAGAATGGACCCGGTGCCTGGGAAAGCGGCTGTGCACTCGGTTGTCTGGTGTGCTCCCCTGGATAGGTCAAGGGGAATTTCGTCCTCCGCCGTATTATACCGAGATGAAGAAGCAAAGGAATAAATAAAAGCCTGACTACAGCTTGTTGTTAAGTGGGGGAGGTGCAACAGCTTCGCGTTGCCAGTCATTCGCGGCCCGTTGGGAGGGACGGCTGCCTGTTTCCTGGCACAGGTGGAGCCATTGAACGCATGATAAAACGCTGTGCTTCGATGTTGTCCAAAACCATACTGAAAGTAGCACGTCTCAAGCATACACATCACCTACTAGGAGCGTTTGCTCAAGGCCTTTGACTCGCATGGGGCTTCGCTCAGGCCTCCCTTGTTCAATCACATGAAGACACAGACGCACCCACACAAATAAGAAAACGAAATTGTTGGGTGTGCTGCGGGGTGCACTATCATCATCTGAAAATGCTTATGCTCAATCTATTGTACAAAACAAAAAAAAAACAAACTTCGCTTCATCATCAAAGCGGCTCGTTTGCTAATATATTGCACTTAACCATGCTAAAAAAAAGTGTGTCTACTTAACTGGTGAGCCTTGCGTCGATCGTTGAGGTTCATCTCTGACCTAATTCGCGCGTACTTCCTCAGGGCGCAAGAAGTTTTCGCATCCCGGCACTGCGTGGTGGTATACTTTGAATAACGGGGAAGATCGCCATGAATCCCGCGGCAGTTGCACAAAACACATGGGACAGTAACAAAAGAAAAAAAAAGGATGGGACCTACGGTTACCAGATTCTGAGCTGAATGTGATTGTAAATCGCGCAATGCAGAAAAAGTGAGCTTTGTATGAAAATTTTCGTAAGTTGGGATTGCCTGTCGGGCTGATGTGAATTCTGAGGAGAAGTGACTTTTGGGTGAACTGTGGTTCTTATCTGTCGCAATTATGTGACATGTGTGGAAATACTTATCGTATGTTTCCTGTCTGTGTATGTCTGTGCATGTGCAACCATAATAAAGTTAGGAAAACAAATGCCAAGCATAGGATGTGGGTGAGAGAATGTGTATTATTATGGATTTGTCGGATGCATCTTGTTTCTTTTTCTTAGAAAAAAATTACATTTTCTCTTCTTCGTCGTTACATTCTCTATAGAGCATATCGAATAAAGTTTCATGGGCTGCAAGGGTACGAAGGAACGTGATGGGGGCGATGATCTCGTCAACAAACAGAACACCGCAAATGGAGCCGAGGAGTTTAATATGCTTGCCGAGGAAAACCCTGTGGCCGCAAAACTGCGCGAAGAATGGTCTAAAGTAGTGCAATCTATTTCCACTATGCCTGCAGAGACCCGAGGAGAAGTTTGGGCAGATACTGCCAACAATCGTCTCACACACCGTTGCGTTGACAGGGTGGGAAAACTCTTCTTGGTGTATATAAGAAACGACCTTATGTCTCGTGGATGGGGCGGTAGCTTTGACTACACCGTTGTTGGCGTCACACAACAGGGATTTCTAAAGGTAAGTGTTACACTTGATGCTAGTACTGCCATTAAACGGTCAGGGGACATTGTGTGGGAGACTAAGGTGCATTACTACAGCACTGCCTAAAAGGCAATAATAGCTCAATGTGCGAGTTACATATGCGAATGTGTCCCAATTACGAACTATTTATTCTCAAAGCAAAAGGAAAACAAAAACGAATCAGGATAAATTAGGAGAAGGGAGGAAAACCTGTGGTCTTAGCATACCTCTTTGCTTCCTCAGGGCCTCCACTATTTGATGTCTTCTCCTTGTTTACTCTGGTGACTCACGAGGTGCGTACTTATCTGTATCTGTGTCTACGTTCCTCCTTCTTCACATAATGCCCAATGGATGTTCGTTTTTTTTTTTCCCCCTTTTAATGCAGTTGCAAAGATCTGTTAGGGTTATTTTCGTATCCTCTATTTCCTTCCTGCTTAGTTGGTGCTATCTACACTGGCCGCACAATGTATCTGGAAGATGCCATGAGCAAACTGAGGGAAGAAAATGAAACGATAACCATTTAATAAAGGGGGCCTTTAAGGCGTAAGGGTGCGGGTGTGTCGAGGATTGCCTGCGGGCAGCTTTTAAGAACGGTATCGAGGACGAACAGAGACGATAATGCCGCTTGCCATCCAACAGCCCAAGTCACTCAAAAGAAGCAAAAAAATACTGGGAGGCGCTTGATGNGTATATAATGGAAGATTGATGGGGTTCTTGCTAAAATAAACACACACACACAGACACACATACAGCAAATACGACCTTCGTTGATGGCTTTTATTCAGCATAAATTTGACGGAAGAATTCTTGTAGGGTTATTATGATGAGGTTCATGGAAACACCCCGACACGAAGTAGTTCTGGAAACGATACGCTAATGGGGATTGCCGCGTGTGTTTGTATTTAATCAAATCAGGATAAGGGTAAGTGGGGGATGTGTATGTGGTGCGAAGGGTAAGTATTTGTACGTGCTCTCTCAAAGGCTGGGCGAGTTGTAAAGGGACGGCAACGTGCCATGTGTGGTAGGAAAAAGCTGATTCGCCTTTCTAACCGTTGAACAATATAGCCGCTGTAAATAAAAAAATTCCGTGGTGAAGTTCATCCACGAAGATTTCTTGAAAATCAACTGGAGCCATGCGAATCTTTCTGGCGGTGGTGTACTTGGCGGGGAAGTTAGGGGACAAAAATCTGTCGATGAAGTGGACAGACAGCGAGGTAGACTATCTTCTTCCTGGTGAATGCAAGTGGGAGGAGGAGTGCTGGGAACGACGGTGGAGAAACAATGATCGGTTCACGTGAACAACGGCTCCAGCCGAGGGTACTTCATTCTGAAAAAGGTTGGCCTTATGATGTTTTTGAAGAGCTGGAAGAGCGTGACTGTTATGTTACAAGGGAAATTGTCCGCGTTTGGAAGATTGTTGAAAATGATATAGAAAATTGGCTTGTTCAAAATGCTGCAGGGGTAAGGGCCACGTTACGCCTTTTGATTGGGACACCTGGTATAGGGAAGTCAATGGGAGCTGGCTCGTACCTCCTCTACCAACTGCTGCACTATGACAAGAAACGACGTCCAGTGGTTGCATACATCGTTGCAGATTACGTGTATCTCTTTGACAAGACCAGAGGTGAGGGACAAGGACGCGTGGAGTACTACGATAACCTCGAAGGGGGAGTGAGTGCTGTGGTAGACCTCTCTCTTACTGTGAGGGGATACATAATCTACGATGTGGCAAAACAACGAAGTGAACCTCACCACGCTTTGCCTCCTTCTACTTGGGGCATGATTCTTTTGAGCTCTCCAAATGAGGTGAACTTCAAAGGATGGGGGAAACGACAGAAAACACTGCGTATCATAATAGATTGCCCTAAGAAGAGTAAACTGAAGGCGATGTGCGTGGGGATACACCGCGATAAGCCAGAGGAGGACCAACAGACAGAATGGAAGGTTGTGGAAGAGCGTATAAACAATGCGGTACAACTTCCCCGCCACATTTTTTGGTAGTGAAAGTGAGTACAATGGTCGTGTGAAGGCGGTTGAAACGGCGTTGACCTGTATCACACCATCCAATGCTGAGCTATACTTTGGAGTGAACAAAGAGGATTCTTGGCAAGGCAAAGATCCCTGCCACAAGCTTGTGAAAATCACTCGGTATTCCGCGCC